GACACCACGGTACTTTACCCAGGGCAACAACTTGAGACTGTCTCAAAAAAAAAAAAAAAAAAAAAGAAAGGAAAAAGGAAATAATCATGTATTTGGGAGAACCCTAAGAAGCAGGGAGACTATGAGTTCTAAATAATTATTTTCTTCTTTTAGGATATCCAAATACTCTAGCTCACCAATGTCATGGATCATTTGACTCATACAAAGACTTACTGTTCCTTTAGTACTTGGACATATAATCTCTGGCATTTTTCTTTTTTGGCATTTTCCTTTAAAATTTAACATATTATGTGTCACATTTCCATTAAAGACTCTCAGCTAGTCTTAGACTAGCCAGTCGAGGGCAGGGAAGTATTGCAAATCTTTTTTACCCACTACCACCAATACACCTTCCCCCTTATGACTTCTCCCCTGCCACCATCCTAGGCCTCCCCAAGTACTAGATACTTAGGTATAAGAATTAAGTAAACAATTCTGAAATTCTGTTAAAATCCACTGACTGCTTGTGCAATTACATTTTGTAGCAAGCTAAAATGACTACTTATATATTGTATATATCCATGCATGTGTGTATACTTATATTACATAAGCATTCATTAACTCAACTAATATTTACTATTTACTATATGCTCAGATTAAAGAGAATTGAGTCAACAAAATGGAGGAATGTCTCTGCCTTTTTAAACTTACCTGAAGTTAAGGGAGACAAACAACAGACAATATTGTATATTAGAAGGTGAAAAGTATTTCAGGAGAAATACAAAGTAGACTTGGAAATGAAGAGGTATAGTAATTTTAAGTAGATAGTTGTAGTGCAAAGGTGAGGTGTCAGCTAGTACTTAAGGAGATTAGGAAGTCAGCCATGCAGATTTATTAGGGAAGAAGACTGGGGGCAGAGCTTCTAGGGTAAAATGCAGAGGGATCGGTGCCATAGAAAATAAAGCCTATGAGGAATTGGGGCAGGTATGCTCAGATAATGTAGGACTAATACATCTGAGCACATGTACAAACTTTAACTTTTTACTCAGAAATGAAAACCATATGGTCAAATATACTTCACTAAAAGGTACAAATCACATAGAAACTCTACAGATAGACACTTATTGGTATTTAATTATTTTCTTTTTAGGATTTTGAATA